TTTTAAAATACTCAATGCCCCACTTTCCCAACAGTCAGAGACAATACTAAATAATTCTGTTTTTGCAAAATTCTCATCGCATTTTAGTTGAATATTTCATGCCCTCATTTATTAGCAACAGAAAACACAGCTGCTGCGAACGCTTTTACAATATTCAGCACTTGCTTTTTAAGTGCTAGCATCCAGCCATTTCTGTGGATGCTAATGATCTTAGTTTGAAGTGGATAAACTGCCTTTTTTACCTCATGCCAACAACTCGGCTGTTATAGAGGCAGTGGGAGTCAGGGCAGGGAAATGGGAAAGGGGTATTTGAACAGACAAAGCTGATGCCATGTGAAAAAGAGCATCAAAAAATAATAATGTCAGTTTTTTTGTTCCCCTCGGCTCTTCACTCTAGAGCTCTCAGAGGCGTGTGTGCCCATGAGATGCGGACACAATATAAAGGCTCAACTGAAATGTTTTTGTCCAAGGCTGATACCAAACACAACTGACAATATTCATGTTCAGTACATTTTAAATATTTTGTGTTAAAATGTTGAATGGTACAAACATCAAGATTTCACAAAATGTCCAGTACATATGTTTATTCAACAACAACAAAAATTCGACGAAAAATCTCCCATTTGGAATTGGGTGTGCTGTTTTAGTCCAATTTAAGTGATATTTTTGTTCATTTTGACTGAAATATAACAGACATATATTATTATATTAAATAACCAGACAGAAAAAGGCTCAATTCACTTTAATTAAATTTGTGTTTGTAAAGCACCTAATTCAACAGCAGTCAACTCAAAAGACTTTACACACTTTTCAATTTGCCCACAACAGTCAAATGCAATAATATCAAACACATAGGTGCTATTGGTCCATATGGAGATGAATGACCAATGTCCATAAAAGTAAAAAAAAAAATCTCAAATCTTCGCTGCATCGGCAAGACACATAACTCAAAAAAAAAAAAAAAAACCCACAGGGGGAAAAATGTGAGGAACCTTGAGAAGGGCCATATTGTGAGATGGATCCACTCCCACAAACAGACAGGCTACAGGTCAGGGCCGCGGATGACCGGTCCACAACTGCACGTCGAAGAGGCCAGGTTCAGGGGTCCCATTGTCACGCCATAAAACAGACAATGTGACAAAGCGGGTGAATGAAAGCCATGAACAGACCTCAGCTGAAGTCATAATTGCTCAAAACAAGTGCTTTGTTCAGACTCTGTGAAAGTATAAATAGCACCTTACAGTATGTGATATCTATAATGCATTCTTACATTTCCACGAAAACCTCAAAATTAAAGCATAGACAAATAAATGATTGTGTTTATTTTAGTTTCACTGTTTTTTTGACCTATACACTGGACCAGACTATTGACTATAGTAAAAATATATATATTCCGATAATGGTGCTGAAAATCGGTCGACCCCCTACGACACAATAATACAAAATGCTTCCGTCCTTCCTCCTTTTTTATGTCCACTTCTTCCCGGGAACCCTCATATTCAGCCTATGTGATGTGGTTCAAAGAAAAGCCACCTTGCCTCCTCAGAGTAAGATCTGGTGGCGTGTGACAGCGGGAGAATGCTAACTGTGAACCGCGGTGGCTTTGAATGCATCTTTGAAGAGAGTGTGAGTGCAGGTATTATCAAGGACTACTTGTTTCCTGAGGAAGAAGAGACCACGGGGTTACAGCCTCTGGAACGACACGCAGAGCTGTGGTTGGATGGAAAATTGTGCCTTTTTGTGTGTTTGTTTTGCGGTGGTAATAAGCCTGATCGTGCCAAGGCTCTGCTGGTTGACATTTGCATAATGCTTTGGCTTTTGGCAAGAAAATAGGCCCAAGGGTTCAGTTTGGAGATTCTGAGACTGCATTCTTCATTTTCAGACTTAGAAGAAGAAGAATATTGCAGAGGCCAATTGTACAAATATTCCTGCATGGATACATGGAGAGGCTGGGTGAGAGTGCTGGGATGTTTTGCATGAATAAAAATATTTTGCAAAAACTATTGACATTGAAAAAACGATAACACTGAATTATTAAATGTGTCCAATATGGGAAAAGATTTAAATTAGTTACGATTACTGAACTTCTTCCCAAGTTCAGTTCTTGTATGTTTTTTAACCAAATGGTTGAACAATGTTGTAACAATTTTAGTCTATAGTTCACCTGCAAAAACTGATAATAATAATAAAAAAAAAAAATCAGGTAATAAATACATAAATCAAAGAGTTTATTTTTATTTTTCTATAAACAAGATTTGCCATTGGGACAAGAAAAATATAAAATTGAAGTAAAAATTTGCTTGTTTTTTTTTTTTTTTTTTAACAATAATTTCGGCCTGTTTAAAAATGCGGGTTTTAATTTTTTTTAATGTTACAGTATCATTTCATTTGTACGCGGGCTAACATAATTTACACATGATATTTTTCAGTGTCATAACAGAATCATCCCTGTCTTGTATATTTAACATTTTATAACGCTTTTTTTTACATATTCCTGGATAATGCGGCGCAACGACAAAAGAGTCTTTCTGTGCAGCCTGAGAATAGATTGTGCCACATTGTCTGTTTTATCTTAAAAGGCTGTTAGCAGGATTGACAGAGGTGGAGGAGGATTGATGATTCTACAGGGCAGTATCGAAGGAAGACGTTAATGGAGTGGTTAAAAATAAGAATGAGGACTGCTCTCTTGCTGCAGCAGCTTTTCAGAGCAATCCTCCCGGAGCAACGCTTTTTGGTGAAGGCTTTTAGGGCAAAATATAATGTACTGTATATAGACTGAAATATGAGTTTTAATAATAACGTCATTCATTTAGAGCTGGGCCATCTGGGGGAAAATATATCATATTTTTGTCTACTTAAAAAAAATATAGATTTTTTTTTGTCTTTAGTTTTGTGTTGTTGTCTATTGTGCACACAGGGTATTTTTGCATGAATATTCCTCAGTGGTTCCAACACATATGAGTATTGTAGGGCTGGGCAATAAGTCGAATTTAGGCAAATAATCGGCTTTTGAAAAAATTGAATTTGTGAAAAATGTGAAAATCATGAAATCGAATGAAGGATATTGTGAGAGTTCCAGCAGCACATCAATTATAGTTTGCAATATCAGCACAGTCGGTACAAGACTTTTATAATACGTATTGGTAAAAAAAGAAAAACACAAAAAACATGCCTTTTGTCTTCCTTTTTATCTTAAACAAATGATTTTTAGCCCATTTTGCTGTTACTTCCAGATTTATTGGTGTATTTCAATATTAATTACGGGTTCTATAATCACATTGTACCAAAATTGAGATTATTGGCACTGACATCCATGGATATATTTCAAACACCACAAGGCCCATTGGGATTCAGTGCAAAAAAAAACGTATTGCAGCATCAATCAGGATTTCAGCAGTCGGGGCATAAAATTTGCTGAATGAACAATTAAATTTTCTGTAATCATAATTCCCATGACACTATAAAAGGTATTGATCTTGAGTTTATTTCATCACTTTGAAGTCATAATCCCAGAGACAGACAAAGCTGCTATTGAGATAAAAAAAAAAATCGTTGTTACACACAGATCTGTACCGCCGTCTAAAATTCTATCACATTTCATTTGAATATATTTCCCACATACCATAAGTGTCTCTTAACAGACCACACGAACACTTTGTAAAGATTGTTTTGGTTTTTGCATCAAATCCTGTGTTGAAGAAGACGAGGAAATGAACAATTGTGTTTCTATTTTTTAAATCTTACTTTCAATCTCGTCTGGAAAACGTGGAAAATGGTGCAGGTTTACTTTTTGTTGTGTTTTTATATGTCTTCTACCACGGTGTGATTTATTTCAGCCGCCTCATACTCTGGGCTTTAAAACGGTGAATGTTGTTGTGAAGAGCTGGGGTAGCTAACTTTGTTGTTTGATAAATTGTGCGTGTTCCAACAGAAAAAAACATTGTCAAAAAAAAAAAATGTTTACAAATGACCACAACACACTGTCTTCATCATATTTAAAACATGTAACCTTTTGCATACTTGTAGTAAAAAGAGTCACTATTTGACTCTTGAGGCTGAGATCTGATTGGCTGAGTAAGGGTGGTCCACTCTTTTTGAAATTACTGTCTGATCTGAGAGTCTGACTGGGACCAAAAACACACGCATAAGGCAACTAGTGATAGAACCAAGCTGTTTTAGATCGAGGAACTTGTTTCATGGCTTATATTACACAGTTCCATTAGTGTGGTTTGAAAGTTAGGTACCCCAGCTTTAACACTAGGACTAGGACAAATAAATAGTTTTACTTTTTCACTACTTTTATCAAAATGAAGCAAGGCATACAGTTTTTATTTTAATACATGCCAAAACTGGTTAATATACATGAAATACGGGTAAACTAAATTATTTTCTGTGTTGCTATGGTAACTACCAGTTGCTTCAAGCTGAGATTGGTTGAAACCAGTCCAGGACCAGTCTAGGATATTTTCATAAACGTAATAAAGTACATATATATACAGATAATTTCACAAATTTATGAAGACCAAAAATATACATAAATAGAATAATTAAACTTCCAAAACGACCACCCTACAGTAGGAGTTCTAGTCTTTAATGATGGTGGGGCGGCACAGTGGCTGAGTGGATAGCAATCTCGCTTCACAGTTAGAAGGTTCTGGGTTTCAATCCTGGTCAGACTGGTCAGAACAGGGCCTTTCTGAGTGGACTTTTCAGATTCTCCCGAGTCTGCTCCGGTTTCCTCCAGGTGCTCTGGTTTCCCCTACCACAAAAAAAAGGCCAAAAATAGGTCTGGCATGCATCTCCTGTAGGGCACCTCGCTCCCATCTCTGTGTGGAGTGAGAGACAAATTCCCACAATTGTAAAGCGCTTTGTGACTCTGGTTTGTGAAAGGCGCTATATAAATAATGATTACTTACGAACTTGAATGACATAATTGCTGATGTTTTGTGTGTTTTTGTGATTGGCAGGTGTGAAACCTACAGCGCCGTCGTCCAGGAACCATGGGGAAACAGAACAGTAAGCTGCGGCCGGAGATTCTGCAGGACCTGCGCGAGAACACAGAGTTCTCCGACCACGAGCTGCAGGAGTGGTACAAAGTAAGTTCAGAACTACAATTTATCCAGGACGGCAAATTAGGAACAAAAAGAGCTCGAGAAATACCTAGGGTAGTGGTCTGAAAGTTGATCAATTACAGAAATAACTGAGTGTTCTCGAGCATGACGGTGGAACTCTGAACCGAGCTTTGCCGTTTGCCCAGGAAATTCATGGAGGCCAGTCACAGCCTTGAATCATCAATAATGATAAGAGAAGAGAAAGTGGAGTTAGCGTAACGAGGCTACTGCAGTTTTACAATTCTTAGCAGAAATTATGAGATAAAAGGAAGCCTGAGTTTCTGCAGCCTTTTTAAACTTTGGCCTTGACAAACTTTTGGAAAAGGTTATGAGAAAATCAATGTTAATATGTGTGTGTGTGTGCGTGTGTGTGTTTATGTGTGACACCACACACATAAACACGGGCGGCACGGTGGCTGAGTGGATAGCACTCTCGCCTCTCAGCCAGAAGGTCCTGGGTTCGAATCCCGGTTGGACCAGGGCCTTTCTGAGTGGAGTTTGCATGTTCTCCCCGTGTCTGTGTAGGTTTCCTCCGGGAACTCCGGTTTCCCCTACCACTAAAAATATGTACAATAGGTCTGGCATGTGCCTCCTGTACTGGCGACCCCCACTCCCAAAAAAATAACAATTGTAAACCGCTTTGAGACTCCGATGTGCAGTGAAAAGGCAGTATATAAATAAAGATTACATTACATTACAAAGATTACATTACATTACACCAAGGGCTTCTCGACAACTTTAGTTTCTTCGTGACTAAATTAAAGCAGGGAAACATAACTTTCAAACCACAAAATATTTCACTGTGTAATCAAATCCGTCCAACTAGGTTCCTCTGAAAACAGTTTGAGTATCCTTAGTTTTTACATAATTTGTTTTTCAACCTCAGGCACATCTCCAGAACAGCCTTTTCTAGACGTGTGAAAAAGAGGGGACCACCCCCTCTCAGCCAATCAGCTGTCAGCTCAGAGCAACGAATAGTAGCTAATAGGGCTCTGTCACAACTATGCAGAATATCAAATCATTTCTAAAGAGATGAAGTAAAGACGACAGAGAACACTTTGTGGAGGGATTGTGTCACTACATTTTACTTTTACAAGACTCTTTCTGTTGTATGTATGCAAAATTAGGTACCTCAGCTTTAAGCCATCGTTAATGTTTGTCTCATAAACACCCAAACATCCTAAAAAAACAGGTTCAATTCAAAGTGAGCACAGCACAACAGCACAATGCATTCACCTGGTCATTCAAAGTGAGAGCACATGTTACATACAGTGCCTCTAATGTCATGTCTGTGTGTGCATGTGTGTATGTTGATAGTTTAAGTATGTGTCTATAATGTGGTAATATTACTTTAAACCACCTTAAAAAAAATAGAAAATGTAAAAATGTATGTACTTATTTAGAACAAAACAAATATAGTAACAATAAATTAAACAAATGTATTACACGGCTCCTCACAGCAGCAGTAGAACGCTCCATCGATTTGAATGTAATTTCAAAATGTTCTACCGGTCATTATTTTCTATAACGGACCTCTCAAAACAATAATGACCGCTGCCCTTTGGCAACGCACTCTCTGCTTGTATTTCAAATGCGTGGATAGCTCCGCAAGTAGTTCCGGCCACTCAGGAGCTAGCCACGCTCAATCAACACACTTAAATGTTAATCGGAGAATACTTATACATATACATTCTTCACACACGTGCACTGAGATTTTTAGAATTTACTGATCTTGTCTTCATGACAAAAATAATATGTATCTGCGTCAAAAAGCGATCATGAAAAAGCCGGAAGTAGTTCCGGCCACTCCGGAGCTAGCCACGCTCATTAAACGCAAATACCAATCAATCAACGCTATTAAATGTTAATCGGAGAATACATTATACATATACATTCTTAATACAAGTGCACGGAAGTTTTCAGAATTTTCTGTTTACGTTTTTATGACAAAAACACTGATGTAATGCGAGAAAAGGCGATCCCGAAAAACCCGGAAGTGAATACCGGCACATTTTATGACACATTTGCAGAGGATCGAATTATGGATTTAGGTTAGGTTTATGTTTGGGTCACTCACCGCTGATGTTCAGAATTCTTTGTTCAGTTTTCATGCAGTTCCAGAGAGTTCTAGTTTGGAAGTTGATAGCCTAACTGTTGCTAGCATAGCTACAGGAAAGCCTTTGGGAACTATTTTATTTTTTTTCTTATTTTAAATAAACCTTTCGGCATTCCTTAAAGTGGACTGAGGTTTATGTTGTGTGTTCTGTGGGTATAAAGCCGTGTAATAAGCGAGATAACGTATAGTACGCAGGTCATTATCGGAAAATAAATACCGACAGGGCTAAGCGGTCTGCTTCCGCCCTGAAGGTACTTATTTTCCGATAATTAATAGTTACCTAATGTAACTTAAGTTCTACGAATAGGTGCGTAGTCCCTTAGGACTTCGCTAGTGGGATATCACTCGTGACCCCCAGGTCACACGCCAGAGAGATCAAAATAATTTGCTCCAATCACCAGCCACCCTCCTCTATAAAGGCCCCTGCACACAGCCGCACCCCCTCTTGAACTCTGCCAAGCCGGGCTGGCCTGATGGGCTCGTAGCTAAGGGACTACGCACATATTCGTAGAACTTAAGTTACATTAGGTAACTATTAATTCTACGTCATGGTGCTACGTCCCTTAGGACTTCGCTAGTGGGACACAACGCGGAGGCCGTAGGAACATGTACTCCCAGCAGGCCAGCGAAGGGTGATTGGAGCTCCGCCCGAGCAAGACCCTCACACAGGCGGCACGGTGGCTGAGTGGATAGCACTCTCGCCTCTCAGCAAGAAGGTCCTGGGTTCGAATCCCGGCCGGACCAGGGCCTTTCTGAGTGGAGTTTGCATGTTCTCCCCGTGTCTGCGTAGGTTTCCTCCGGGTACTCCGGTTTCCCCTACCACTAAAAATATGTCCAATAGTTCTGGCATGTGCCTCCTGTACTGGCCCCGCTCCCATCTCTGTGTGGAGTGAGAGACAAATGCCCAAAATTAACAATTGTAAACCGCTTTGAGACTCAGATCTGCAGTGAAAAGGCGGTATATAAATAATAACTTACTTACTTACTTACTTACAGTGAAAGGACTCAGGGCAGAAGAAACAAATGAGTGTTACAGGGCCACTCCTACCAAGGATACCCCCACGTAACACAGACCGTAGGTCACCCGTAGTCCCAGGACGCCTCTCCCAAGAGCTCCTGACGTGGACTACCTGACCAACCAAACACACATAAGTACCGCACCTGTAGGATGCCCCTCCCAAGAGCTCCTGAACCAGGGCGGAAAGTCAACCGAAGGTCCCCTCAGAGGAGGGACCTAACGGTCTAACTCAGTCCGCTGCACTCAGCACGGAATGGGCCACCGACCGGTCCGACACATCCAAAAGATAAGACCGGACGAAAGAAGAGGACGATGCCCAAGAAGCCGCACGGCAGACGTCCTCGACCAACGCCCCCCTTAGGAGGGCCGTAGAGGCCGCCACCCCACGCGTGGAATGCGACCTGAAGCCCACCGGGGGGGCCAGCGTCTGATACGCCCGCCGCACAGCCGTGGCGACCCAGTGCGCTAGCCGCTGAGCTGACAGCGGGGCGCCCCTGTTCTTGGGGCCCAGACACACAAACAGCTGACCACCCAACCTGAATGACGACGTCATGGCCAGGTAATGGCCAGCATTCTGACAGGACACAGAAGGTGCCGCCCCTCCTCCTCGGGGGAGGCATGCGGTGGCGGATAGAAAGCCCTAATCCTGATGACTCTCGACCTAAAGGCCGACGTGATGACCTTGGGAAGAAAGGTCGGATTGGGCCACAATTCCACCATGCCGTCGCCCTCTCCAAAGGACAGGCAAGACGCATGGACAGAGAGCGCACACAAGTCGCCCGCCCTCTTAGCAGACGCCAATGGCAGCAAGAGGGCCGTCTTAAAAGCGACACACTCGGGACTCGCCTCCGCCGCCGGTTCAAAAGGCGAACCCGACAGCCCCCTAAGGACCACCCTGAGGTCCCAAACCGGAGGCGTTCTCTGGAGCGGGGGCCTCCTCCTGCGCGCCCCCCACAGAAAACGTTTAACCAACGGATGAGAACGGGCTGTGAACCCCCCAAATCCGTCGTGACCCGAGGTAATGGCTGCCGCGAACACCGCCAAGGTGGCGACAGCCCTCCTGTAGGAATCCCAGGACCCCCTCCAGCGGGCAACGCCTGGGATCCCAGGAACGAGAACCGCACCAGTCGCTGAAGAGCCTCCACCTCGTGGCGTAGGCCCTCACAGTGGACGGCGCCCTCGCCCCCTGAATGGTCTCCACCACCGCAGGGGGAAGACCCAGGTCTACGAGGTTCCGCCTCTCAGCCTCCAAACCCAGATTCTGCGGCCGATTATCGGGCGTGAAAACAGGGCTCCCCCCCCCTGGACTAGAGCCCCCGGCTCGTCCGGAAGGGCCCAGGGCTCCATCACCGCCATGCCCCTCAGGAAGGGGAACCACCGGGCATGCGGACTGTCCGGAGCCACCAGGATCACCGACCTCCTTTTCTGTTCGATCCTCCGCAGCGGGACCGGCAGGAGACGCACTGGTGGGAAAGCGTACAGCAGGCCCTCTGGCCAGGGGTAATGAGCCAGAGCGTCCACGCCTAGGGGCGGCTCGTCCGCGGCCCTTAAGGCGAACCAGGACGGGCACTGTGCGTTTTCTGCACTGGCGAAAAGGTCGACCACTGGACGGCCGAACCTCCGCCAGATCTCCGCAGCTACCCTGGGGCCAGGCCCCACTCGTCCTGGAGTGGGCCCCCCCTGGACATCCTGTCGGCCCCCACGTTCCGGACCCCCGGGACGTGGCGCGCCCTGAGAGACAGGAGGTGAAGCGCCGCCCACAGCAGCGTCACCGTCGCCATGCGATGGAGAGCGGGGAACCTGGTGCCCCCCTGCCTGTTCAGATAGGAGACCACTGTGGTGTTGTCTGAG